TTTTTATACAGTCTATGCTCAAAACTAGCCTGAAAATAGCCCAATTGCTTTCGAGGGGGGGTTCTCCTGGTACAATTCACATTCCAGGGCCTAAATATCACATTATTGGGGTCGCTTCAACCTGCTGACATAAAAAACAACGGCGGCAATCGCGGATTTGGCAACACTGGTCTGCAAACAACGTTTCATATACTCCCCGAACTTCCCGCTGCCCTGTATCGTGCTCTCTCATTGGCTGTAGGTCATCGCCGATGTGTTTTTCAGTCAGAACTCATTGCACACAGCGCGATTGTGAATCGCCGACAGCTCCAGATATTTAGCATGCCAAATATTTCACGATTCCCTCAGATCGCGTCTTTGATAATTCACACTGTGTGATTGTCACTCGCGTGAATGGGCACCGATTTGCCTCTGATTTCGGGCATTTGACGGCGAGTGAAAAATCGGGCTAAAATCGTGCAGTGTGAACTCGGCATAACTCACTGCTCACTTCAGTGTCTCAGTACAGCCCAAAGAGTGCGAGTGTCTTTTCATTTCAAACTAAACCACACTTTCTCCTTGATATATGAAGGCAAAGCACAGGCAGTGAATCTGCTGAAACATAACGCTAGAAGCACCCACAGAGAGCGGGCAGCTTGTTTCTTCATGCAGACTGGGAACTGTTGTGATATGTGAGTGGTGAGATTGCTACTGAGTGAGCGGGAGTTCCTAACAGAGTTCAGTTATACCTGCTACGCTGTGATCGGTGTCTCCTTATACACAGCAACACAACAGGAACGATTCACACAGCCTGCAAGAAAACGGCATTAGGGAGCACAAAAACAAGAGAAAATCAGAGAATGTGAGACTTGTAAAAACAACAAACTTTTATTTGTATCCTTAATTGAGTATAACACAAATCTGCAATATTCAACTGGAATACTTTGTTGTTTATGAAAGTGTTAAGGATTGCACAGGGGGTTACATCTGAATATTTGATCGCAAACACAGATATGATTTCTTTCTTTCTCTAAAATGTGAGCCGCTGCTGTCACCGGCGTCGAGCTTGGTGGGCGTGGTTTCAGCAACCAGCTCCCGCCTCTTTGCCCATTTTCGATTATCCGGGAGTGACTCGTGGTGACGCGCTGCCAAGATGGCGACGGCCGGCTCCGCCCACTTTAGGCTTCAAAAACGCTCTTCGGAAAACTATGGGTGATGTCATGGACACTACGTCCATGTTTTTATACAGTCTATGCTCAAAACTAGCCTGAAAATAGCCCAATTGCTTTCGAGGGGGGGTTCTCCTGGTACAATTCACATTCCAGGGCCTAAATATCACATTATTGGGGTCGCTTCAACCTGCTGACATAAAAAACAACGGCGGCAATCGCGGATTTGGCAACACTGGTCTGCAAACAACGTTTCATATACTCCCCGAACTTCCCGCTGCCCTGTATCGTGCTCTCTCATTGGCTGTAGGTCATCGCCGATGTGTTTTTCAGTCAGAACTCATTGCACACAGCGCGATTGTGAATCGCCGACAGCTCCAGATATTTAGCATGCCAAATATTTCACGATTCCCTCAGATCGCGTCTTTGATAATTCACACTGTGTGATTGTCACTCGCGTGAATGGGCACCGATTTGCCTCTGATTTCGGGCATTTGACGGCGAGTGAAAAATCGGGCTAAAATCGTGCAGTGTGAACTCGGCATAACTCACTGCTCACTTCAGTGTCTCAGTACAGCCCAAAGAGTGCGAGTGTCTTTTCATTTCAAACTAAACCACACTTTCTCCTTGATATATGAAGGCAAAGCACAGGCAGTGAATCTGCTGAAACATAACGCTAGAAGCACCCACAGAGAGCGGGCAGCTTGTTTCTTCATGCAGACTGGGAACTGTTGTGATATGTGAGTGGTGAGATTGCTACTGAGTGAGCGGGAGTTCCTAACAGAGTTCAGTTATACCTGCTACGCTGTGATCGGTGTCTCCTTATACACAGCAACACAACAGGAACGATTCACACAGCCTGCAAGAAAACGGCATTAGGGAGCACAAAAACAAGAGAAAATCAGAGAATGTGAGACTTGTAAAAACAACAAACTTTTATTTGTATCCTTAATTGAGTATAACACAAATCTGCAATATTCAACTGGAATACTTTGTTGTTTATGAAAGTGTTAAGGATTGCACAGGGGGTTACATCTGAATATTTGATCGCAAACACAGATATGATTTCTTTCTTTCTCTAAAATGTGAGACAGCAATGTTTCAGGAGTTAAGGACACATGTTCATTCTATAACTGTTTTATTTCCTATTTGGGTTGATGTAACTGCTTTATTTTTTAAGATTGACTGTTTTTCCAAGCATTGTTAGATGCCAGTGTTTCATATCTATGCAAAGTTTTCATTTCAAAAACAGTATCATAGCTACTCAGTGATTTCTTATGATTTTAAATCTGTATTTATCCTCAGAGCGATCGCGAAGCAAAAAGAGCTGCTAGAGTTTGTTTTTGTGGCGGCTGTGCTTCAAAAGTAAATTATTATAATCTTAATTCAAGTGATGAAGGATTCTGAAAGTCTGACAGTACTCCAGACAGACTTCTACTGTAAGGTACTACTGTAGGTGATTAACGGTTTAGAAAAGTGTAGAAAAAAAATTTAAATTTAAATTTAGAAAAGTAACCAGAAAGTAATCAGTTACATTACTTTAATAAAGTAACTGAAATAGTTTACATTTGAAATAGGGTAACTTGTAATTCTGTAACCTGTTACATTTCCAAAGTAACCTTCCCAACGCTGACGCCAGGGAACGGACAACAGGAGGATCTGGCCAAACGGTAGATGGCAGGGTGTCTTTGAGATGCTCGACATCCGTGCATGAACCAGAAGTGGTCCTGGAGGAGCGAGAAGTGAAAGAGTCCTCGAGACGGTGAAAGGTGTGGATGGCGTCTGTTGTCCAGGACAGAGACTTGGACCTGCTTTTAGGGAGGGATGTCACAGGAGATGTCAGAGAGCTGTGGCTCCTGATGAACCTGCCATAGAAGTTCACAAACCTTAAGAAACGCTGGAGTCCTTCAATGCTTGTGGGAGTGGTCCAGGAGCGAACGCCTTCAACCAGCCTGGTTTCCTTCAGCGTGCATGTTGTGTTCCAGGAACTGGATGCTGGTTTGCTGGAGATGGAATTCCATGATGAATTTTGATCATTTTGCACCTCAGCAGATCTTCTGTCCAATGTGTGAGTCAGCACAGACCTCAACACCTATCGATGGGTCGGTATTTGTAACCCATCGCACCTGACCTTCGACAGATAGGAGCTCGTGCATCAAGGCACCTGCAGTCTCCTCCCTCTCAAGACAATATTTAAAAATCCATGGCACCTGCATATGACGACAGTTCAAGCACAAATGCCAAGGCAGCCACCACTCACATACACAGGTCCTAACCTTCAGAAGCGTCTCCACAGAGCCTCATTCCTTCATCCAAGCTGTACGTCTCTGCCTTACCTGGGTGAAGTCTTGTGCTTCAACATTTATTCATCAGGGAGATTATTGAACAGCAGGTTTTTTTTAAATCATGAATAAATAGGATGTTTTATAAAAAAAATTAAAAAAAGTAGTCTGAATGTAGAGATGAGCAGTAATGAATAATTAATTATTTTAATTATTAATTTTAAGCAAACAGTAGTGTGTGTAAATTGTTAATTTATCAATTTTGGAATCACTTTACAGAATCCAGTGGACCTTGGTCTTCTGTCCCACAACAAACAGCAAGACGAGACTGAGACATTGTTACTGCGAACAGATCTCGACTTGCAACAGAAAAAGTTAAACTGATGTTCTTGCACAAGAACATGAAGATAGTCGCCTGCAATATAAAAGCATGACAGCTTCCAGTGGTGTTATGATCATTTTGAAATGCAGCATACATGCAGCATAATAATGCAAGTTAAAATGTTGATTTTTGCTGGGAGAAAAGAAAATAGCTTGGCTGCATCTGAAAACCAGAGGTGGACGAAGTACACAAATCAAGTACTTGAGTAAAAGTACAGATCCGTATAATAAAATATTACTCCAGTAAAAGTAAAAAGGTTTCAGTTTTACTCGAGTGAAAGTACAAAAGTACTTGATTTTTTATGTACTCAAGTAAAAAGTACCGATAGATGAATGTTTATTTTGCAATTTTATATAGGCTACTTTTATCATTTCATTTTATATTAGCATATATTTTTTTATAATCCTACTGCTCAAAATACCCTGGGATTTTCCCAAAATAACCAAGGGGAAGATGAGCATGCATGAGTTATTTTATTTAATCTGTGTTATTTTAATGTTTTTTTTTTGACCTAAAACATAGAGACTCTGATGTTGATGTGTCTGCATTCAAGCATTTCAGTGGGCTTAAACAGATCACCCTTTACAGCAGATTTAGTTCACAAACAACTGATAGCGTTGACCTAAATATGATTTTCAGTTACAATAATTCATCCTAAAATTCAACATTAGTGATTTACTTTTAGCAGCATCAGTCGCGCGTGCGGTTCTGTCTTGTGAATTCAGTTCACTGAGACTCCCACTAAACGGTTCATCTGAATCAGTGAGATGTCGACTTGAGAACAGCTGCGATCGGTTTGGTGCGATTTGCGAACAGACGTGATATATTATAAAGAGTAACGATCAGTTTTATGAATGTAGTGAAGTAAAAAGTACAATCTTATGCTTTGGAATGTAGTGAAGTAAAAGTAAAAGTTACTCAAAATAAAACGACTCCAGTAAAGTACAGATACTTGAAAAATGTACTGAAGTACAGTAACGAAGAAAAGCTACTCCGTTACTGCCCACCACTGCTGAAAGCTGGAAAACACTGCCTTCGGAGGACGCATTACAAGGCATCAGGAATCCAAAGTTACTAACTCTGCCACGGACACTAGCATTAAACTATTTACTAATCAATTCAAAGGAATAAAATGATATAAATAATCGAAAGCTTAGTTGTTAAAAATAATGTAATGAAACATTTTTATTTAACGTTTTTTAGCATTTTTATTTAGTTCAAAAAGGTATTTATTATAAACGGAGTACATATCAACGCTCACCATTCGACACATTCGGTCAGTCACATTAGCAAAGTGACCAGAGGAGCGAAACGCTCTGGGTGCAGAACAGACGAGACAAAGGAGAAAAGAAACACAATGCATTCAAAGGAGGACAGCAATGTACAAATGAACTAACAGAAATTAGTAAGCTTACACTATTATTTTTTCATTGTCATGAAGTCATTCAACCTTTAACGTTGTTGCCATCAACAGTGATTAACGTTAATATCAGTTCATTTCTGAGGATCTCCATTTCTTAAAAATAAATAAAGTCACATGTTTGTGAATGGGCATTTGAGAGGAATGGAGAAGATAAGGATACGAACTAGCCCCCTTTTGCAGAAAATTGCCATTTTGAATTCAAAATATCAAAATATTTATTCATTTGTGTGATTCAAGTAGATGAGTTAAAAAAAAAAATCTTATTTCATACTTCTGTACAAAACAATGCTGAACTTTGACAAAAAAAGTGATGTTTTAAAATGTCATATTAGTGATTTTATAATGTCGAAATATAAATCCAAAAGTAAAACGTAAAAAGAGCTATAGGCTATTACTGAGTGGAAATGGTAGGCTAAATGAGACTACGAATGATCCTCTGCTGCCATCTAGTGGTCATAGTGAGAATAATGATATTCATCATTTTAATAGTATTTGGTTTTCTTCCAGGTGGCAGAAATCTTCCACTTAAGCACGGCAAAGTTTCCATGAATTGCCTCTATATGTAGAATGCAGATGTTCTTCAAAGTGAATTTTACATACGTTTACATAAAAAGGCGATTAATTCAGCACCTGAAAACGGACACTGTGCTTCTGGACAGACCTGCAGTGGGTGTTTGATTAGGCTCGTCTCTTACGCTCTGGACTCGACTGGCACGCCAGCTGACCGAGTTATCAAAGGTTCAAGATGAATCCCTGATCACAGTCATCAATCCATCATGCTTCTGGTAAACTGTGCCTCTGTTATCAGACCTATTCAATAATCACGTCACAAAATACTGAACAACCATCTTTAATTGCAGGACCAAATTTAATCGGAAAATTGTAAAAAATATCAAATTCATACAAATGCTCTTTAACGGAGATGGTGCTAGTAGCAAAGTGTACAAAAATGAGGGGAACAACAAACCGCTTTTAATATTTCATCTACCCATCTGGAGTCCGATCAGCTTCATTTAACACTCGGTATTCTCTCGCAGTGAGACAGACGAGACACAGCTGACCTAGTATGAACGGACATCTGCATATGATCGGAACTCAACGCAGCTCCCACGCTACTCTCCATTGGAAATGAATGACTGGATGACCGGTCTGTCGTTTGTCGGATAGTGGAAAGCCGGCTTGAAACACAGTGGAAACGGCAGTATGCCGAGGATCGTTTTCCTTTTAAAACATAAACGCAGCAGTGTAAATGTAGCCTTAAATCTAAGGGGGCTGGGACGCATTCACACTACAGCCTCATGTGTGCGCCACATCTCTGAGTGTAACCGGTGTGAACTAGTAGGTGTGTTCGACTTGACACGGACCGACTGTGCAGTGCAGACCGATCGGTGTCTTACAGTACCACGAGAGCTAAAGAGAGCAGACTGCTCCGTGCGCTTTCGAATCGCTCTCGCGGATGTCAAACACTGATCGATCTGCGCAGCACCTCTTCTAGTCGAACACACCGGCTAGTGCAGCAGGCTTATTGGCTCACTGACGCTGATGAGATTAACCCCTTAGGTATCGCAATTTGGTACCGAACGACAAGACGTTTTTCGATACTCGACGGTATCGAGGCAATTCGGTCGGTGTCTAAAAAGTATCGAACTCGATACCCAGCCCTATATACTGATGTCGTTTTCTGCACGCTGGTCGATAAATATGAAAGAAGTGAGTTCGGCTCAGAGCAAGCTTTCCTGCAGTGAACAGAACGAACGTTGTTCTCTGATCTCTGTGCTTCAGACGTGTGCGCTGCACGCAAACAGAGCGCAAGTTCTTCCCTTCCTGCACTTAAATCGTTCAAAATCACACTAAGATGTGAACGCAGGAAT